CAAACTCATTCTACAAAGTTAGTATTATCCTGATACCAAAACATGGTAGAGACACATCAAGGAAAAAAAAATTTCAGACCAAAATCACTGATGAACATTGATGCAAAAATTCTCAATAAAATTCTAGCAAACTGTGTATAAAAAATGTAAAAATATAGTGCATCATGATCAAGTGAGGTTCATTCCAGGGATGCATGTTTGGTTCAACAAATGGAAATCAATAAATACAATTCATCACACCAATAAATTTAAAGATAAGATTAATACGATTTTATCAATTGATGCAGAGAAAGCATTTGACAAAATATAGTACCCTTTAATGTTCAAAACACTAGAAAAACTAGTGATAGTAGGAACATGCCTCAACATTGTGAAAGCTATCTATGCTAAGCCCAAGGCCAACTTCATTCTAAATGCAGAAAAATTGGAAGCATTTCCTCTAAAAACTGGGACAAGACAGGGATGCCCTCTTTCACCACTTCTATTCAACATAGTCCTTGAAACTCTAGCCAGAGCAATCAGAGAGACAAAAGAAATTAAAGGGATAGGAATAGGAGAAGAACTCAAACTATCATTATTTGCTGACTACATGATTCTATACTTAGCAGATCCAAAAATCTCCACCAGAAAACTTCTAGAATGAATAAATGAATTCAACAAAGTATCAGGATATGAAAACAATACCCATAAATCAAATGTATTTCTATACATCAGTGATGAATCCTCTGAAAGAGAAATTAGGAAAACTATCCCATTCAAAATAGCCTCAAAAAAAAAATTCTTGGGAATCAACATAACAAAAGTGAAAGCTCTCCATAATGAAAACTACAGAATATAAAGAAAGAAATTGAAGAAGCCTTTAGAAGATGGAAAGATCTCCCACACTCTTGGATATGCAATATTAACATTGTCAAAATGGCCATGAAAGTTCAATACAATTCCAATTTAAATCCCATAGTCATTTCTTACAGAAATAGAAAAAGCAATGAAATTCATTTGGAAAAATAAGAGACCCAGAATAGACAAAGCAATCCTTAGCAAGAAAAGTGAAGCAGGAGGCATCAC